TTATGTAAATGAGCAAGTCGATCTTGTCTTGGGAGGGGACATATATCCCTATATAATTTTGAGTGGCATTAAGAAGAATGTTCTTAGTACCCTTATGGCACAAGAAACAGTGTTCGGTTGGATACTGACTGGTCGTGCTGATGCAGTCAACCCAACCAACAATAATAGAGTATCGTTCTTCAATGAAGTGGCCCTAGACAAACAGCTAAGCTCTTTTTGGGAACTTGAGGATCTTCCACGAGATAAAACTGCAACAGCTGAGGAAGCAAAGTGCGAGGAGCTTTACAAGCGTACAACACAGCGGAATCCAGATGGGAGGTACATCGTGTCGCTTCCTTTCAAGGCGGAGTTCCCGGCTGNAGAGCCTTACAAGCGTACAACACAGCGGAATCCAGATGGGAGGTACATCGTGTCGCTTCCTTTCAAGGCGGAGTTCCCGGCTGATATAAACTTAGGGCCATCACTCAAAATCGCGTTTTCTCAATTTTACAAGAACGAAACTCGACTTAGAAAAAATCCAGACTTACAGAGGGAATATAACAAAGTCATAATGGAATACGAGACAATGGGCCATATGTCTAAAGTTAATGCAATTCAGTCAGCAGATGCAGTCGACAGTTACTATTTACCACATCACGCTGTGGTAAAAGAAGAGAGTACTACGACAAAGGTTCGGTAGGTTTTCAATGCTTCGTCGTCTTCAACCAATGGTGTCAGCCTGAACGATATTCTTCTCCCAGGGTCAGTGCTTCAGTCTGATTTACCAGTGTTGATTCTCCGCTGGAGACTTTTTAGATACGTCTTCAATAGCGATATTGAGAAGATGTATAGGCAAATTCTTGTAGACGCCAACCAAACGAAGTACCAACGAATAATTTTCCGTACGTGTCCAAACGAACCAATTAGTATTTACGAACTAAAGACNAGAAGATGTATAGGCAAATTCTTGTAGACGCCAACCAAACGAAGTACCAACGAATAATTTTCCGTACGTGTCCAAACGAACCAATTAGTATTTTCGAACTAAAGACTGTTACTTTCGGTATAAATTGTGCTCCTTATCTCGCGATAAGGACATTGCTCCAGCTAGCTGATGACTCAGAAAGCCTCTATCCTATAGCCTCGAACATTTTACGAAAAAGTATGTATGTCGACGACGTTCTTGCCGGAGGACATACTATTGACTCCGCGATAAAAGCCAGGGATGAGATTTCCGCAGTTTTAAAATCAGCTGGTTTTCCACTTAGAAAATGGACGTCGAATTGCAATAAAATATTGCAAGGCATACCAAAAGCACATCTGCTGAGNGGTTGAGGTATTTAGGTTGGCTAGCTCCAATGATAATTGTCGCGAAAATACTTATGCAGA